TGCAACATATAAGTTTAAAGTAGTGGAGGTAGATGAAGGTGAGCCTATTTTGCCCTTCATTTCACCCGTCATGTTTTCCTCCCTCGTGTTTTATGCCAAGCTATCAACTGTTCCGCTGCAGCGGACCCCTAGTCGCCTCATTGCTTCATTCCCTCGTGTCTCTTTGTTCCTGTTTCTCCGCCTCAGACGCCTACTTGTCCGCCAACTTGGCCCGTAATGGAAAGCTCCCAGTTCACATCAGTGAAGTCACAAAGGACGAAAGCCTTGTCACTGAGTTGACGGAGAAAATTGAAGCGCAGCCCGCTGCGGAGAACTGCACTGCATTGATAACCTCCGAACTGGTGAGCAAGACAACTACTTGTCCAGAGATTTTGCGCCGTTGCTATCCGTAGTCGTGTTGGGTTAACAGCAACTCTAAACCCCACTGTACAGGCCGGCACAAACTGTGCAGCCATTCGGCTGGTTGACACGAGAAGCTGTCCTGCCATTTTACGTTTCGTTTGGGCGTATAGAAGGCGCGCTTCCATTACTCTTTCGATCACGAATCCGAGTCGGAGGCCAGTTTCGACTACCGTCAATTACTGCAGGAAGCCCTTGACGCAGGATTGACAGTCTTCAAGTAAGTAAATGCCAGATTCACCATCCGTACAGACAAATCCCACATCTATACCTTGTATAGCAAACTGCGATGCCGTTGATGACCAACGTATAGGTAAGCAGCCACGCCGCCTTCTGTGCAGCCAAATTCTCATTATTGCACCTGTGCTGTGCTTTGCTGACTCTTTTTCAAAAGCAAAACATACCCCGAGACCAAAGAACAGTGGAAAACAATCTGGGAGAAAGATGCAGCAGCCAGTCTGGCATATCTCCTTTGGTCGAACAGCACTACAATCGGGTGCGTCATTGGACGGTGTACCGAAGTAGCAACTCCAGAGGAGCCAGAAGTTCCGGAATTGCTTCAAAATGGAGCTGGCGGTTCAGAAACACCGGAAGGAACTCTACAAAAGAATGCTGTACTTTTCTGCCAACTCAAACCGGCGGCTGTGAAGGACTCGGCCCCCTTTGAGTAAGTTTTGGGCAATGGGAGATGCTGTCAACGAGAGGACCTTAGGAGGGCTTTACAGATAATAGATACCAAGGCTGGTGATGCTCTCCCTGATTATGCGTTCCTGTCTGTTTCCTTTTTTTTCAGTGAGGAGTATTTCAGCGGGCTTATAGAACGAACCACTCAATTAAAAGATATGACAAAAGACGACCTGAAGAATTCGGTTGGAAATGGCCCTGTAGCAACGGCCTCTACGATTCTAATTGCCGGTTTGGTTGCTATGCTGACAGCCGTCTCTGCCTAGGGTTCAACTTGCCCTTAGCTGCTCAGGAAGTTGCCCCGTTTCCTCTTCAGCATGTGTACGCAGCGCTTTGCAAATCAAGCAGCGTTTGTTGGCCCCTGGCTGTGAATCACCCCTTTCTGCATGGACAGCCAACCTTTAGCTGCTATTTCAAACAACAGACCCGCAGCAGCAAAGAGGCAAAACGCAGCAAAGATATGGGGGGACGTCGAAGTTTACACTTTACACCCTGCGTTTACTCCACCCCATTCGGTGGTCGTTGTGTTTTTTTCAAATTCCAGTGCTTGTCTTAGCCTTTCATTTCTCCGCGAACACTAATTATCGTCAGAAACATACCTTTCCTTTAGGCAGGCGAACTGTTTGCACGTGGTTGGCCTCTCACGCATCGCGTAGCAGGGAGTTATTGTAGAGGTTCAAACAAACAATTCAGTCAATATGTGAACACTGCTAACAACTGGAGCTCGTCGGAGGCTATGCAGCATACGGAGAAAACAAGATAGCGGGAACGCGCGCAAGATATTCTCGTATGCGGAGCAAAACTTAAACATCACATCGGCATCCCGCGCGTCGTTTGTAATTCTTGACGTGATCCGGACACGAGTTCCCCTTCGCACAAAAAGTTGCATGTTTTGCTTTCTTTCTCTCTCCTGCAATAATATATATATATATATATATATATATATATATATATATATATATATATATATATATATATATA